TCACTTTAGGCAAAATTATTTCAAAGAAAGATTAAAGACTGATAGCCAGATGCAAAATGCAGGGGAAGAGGATTCTTCAGCAATTCAGTAAAGAATAATAGTAGACCTTTTAAGATAGAGAGGCACACACTCATAAAAATGTAAAGGCTGTTATACATATTCCAACTTTAAAATGTACATTGAAAATTTTCTGTAGGCCTGCATAATAATGTGAATGACAAGCATGTCTTCTAATGTGATAGCGAGCTTGCAAAAGGCTGCAACAAAATGCATATTTCACAGTAATATAGATGTGAAGCTCTAGCAGAAGAATTCAAATTATTGCTGATTCACCCCAACTAAGGTAAAATCCAGAACTAGAGATTAGACTGGGAAGTTGAAAAAAATATCCAGAGAAGAGCAATGCTAAATACTTTATTGCTGTTGACAGGAAAGCTTCATGGAAGTAGAGTTGAATTTGACTCAAAGGAGACATTTAGCATTGTTTGGTGCCTATAGCTAATGCAGCATCTAAACTGATCTTGCTTGCCTGATCTTAAAAAAATGAAGAAAGTTGAATTCCATAATTGGATAGGAAACTACTAGAGTTCTAGTTAAAAGTGAAAAAAAAAACACCTGAAAGGCAATATATTTAGGCATTGCTGCCACAAAACTACACATCTATGCAGTTATTATGAGTTAACCTTGATCTGAGCATCTTTTTTCTTTTTGTAGGAAAATATAAAGTATTTTATATTAGGGCCCAAAGATAAAAGGTACTGTGCTTTTGGCTAAATGTCAGATAGCCATGGAATTTAATGGCAGAATTTCAGCCACAAAAAATAGAGCCTTCGTTCAACAAAGAATGCTTGGAACAAAACTGCTTTATCTGCAGGAATATGATATGTATTCTTATTGCATATAATATGATTACTTATTGCAGTTTGTATGCTTCTTAATCCAACAAGATTCAAAGAGGTTTTGAATTAAAGTAGTTCCAGGGTAGTCTTTTTCAGTGACTATTTTACTCTATCATTAAAATACATTACTGAGTGACAGTTGATACCTAAAATGCTTGTACTTATTCTGTTGCTTTTCCAATTTAGAATATCACACTGCCAAAAGTCATGTTACCTGAAAATATTTTCATTTTTATCCTACCCAGCCTATATCTCTAATACCCCTGCTTCAGAGGTGGTATTCAGCAGGTTCTGACCAGTTCTGGAGAACTGGTAGCGGAAATTTTGAGTACTTCGGAGAAACAGAAAATACCACCTCTGACTGGCCCCGCCCCCATCTATTCTCTGCCTCCTGAGTCCCAGCTGATTGTCTGGGTCTTCTTTTGTTGCCCTGCACAGGAGAATGGAACTGGAAAGCAGGTTAGTGGGGTGGGGAGGGAATGGGATTTTGCAGTATCCTTCCCTTGCCATGCCCACCAAGCCACATCACACCCACCAAGCTATGCCTATAGAACCGGTAGTAAAAAAATTTGAAACCCACCACTGTCCTGTTTCCTATTTTTTCCCCACAGCAACTACTGTGGGGTTTGGGTGGGGAGAGAGTGACTGGCTCAAAGTCATCCAGCTGACATTCTTATTGTAAGTTATTATCCTGAACTGCAATTTTTAAAGGATCAGTTTAACTTGTGGGAGTTTACAAAAGTAATGGCAAAAAGGAATAATGTGTTTTGTGCGGAAGCAGGTAAGATTGTAGATGTTTTCAACTGTGATTTAGGAGCATTGTTTAGCTAAAGGAGTAAGGTTGTGGTTTGTTTTTTTAAAATTTCCCCTGAGCACAAATAGGGGTACAGTTAAGTGTAAACTGCTTTTTTGGTGAACCCCACTATATTTTGCATTCTAAAACCTCTAATGAAGTTTGAGCAGTCTGTAACCAACTAGGAAAAGGAAAAGGATCTGGATCATAATGAATTACGGGTAAACAATAAAGGTATCAACAGAGCACAGCAGAAAATTCCATTTTATGGATCATCAGGAATGAGATGGAAAATACAAAGAACAACAAATCTATATGTGCAACTAGCATTCTAGTCATCACATCTAAAAAAAATGTATAACTAGAAAACAGGAGAAGAGGATGCCTGACTTATGAGAAAAGTCTAGAAAAATTGGGACTGAGAGGAAACAAAAGCCTTCATGACACAGAGATTTTACAGGAATAACTTTCTCTCTCTTTTGACCAATGAAGTTATCCAATAAAGCTGATACGAAAGAGATTTAGAACAGGTAAAAACAAGTAATTCTTAACACAGAAAGTAATGAACCTTTGGAATTCATTACCCATGAGAATGATGGTAATAATTGTCGTGTCCGTCTGTGACTTGGTTTCAGCTCTTTATTTGCTCCGAGATCGGCTCGGCTCGAAAAGGGAAAAACGGCGGCTTTTATTCTTTGGCCGCGGCAGCCGCGGCCAATGACACCGCTTTGAATCTCCCGCGATTAGTTTCCACCAATCGCGGGAGATTCTCGGCGGGCCAATCACTGTGGCTTGCTCGGCCAATCAACTCGCCGCGCGTCTTGTCCAATCACCGCGCGGCATTTACGAGTATGTAAATAACTATACAGAACAATAATGAGCTCAGATAGTTTTTAAAAGGAAATTCAATAAATTCATGGAGGATAGGCCTATCAAGAGATATTAGCCTTGGTTTCTCGATAACTTGTCTGAGCTTGAGGAAGCATGCTTCTACATACCAGTTGCAAAGGAATAATAACTGGTAAGGGGCAAGTTCCTAGTGTCTTCTGGTTAGCACCCAGAAGGCTACTTTGAGAAATCAAATGCTGGACTAAGTTAGGACTGTTCAAATACCTATGACAATGGATGTTATCAATAATTAAATATTACAGATACTAACATTTTTGGTTTGTTTTTGGAAAAGATGAAAAATGTATAAAGAATAGAAACTTAAACGAATAATTGCATAAAATTGCCCATGAGTACTTCTTAATGAATATGGATGTTTTTCGTCCCTTGGACATTCTTCAACTATGTAATCTCCCAGAAATCTCCAGCCAGCCTGGCCATTGCTGAAAATTCTGGGCCCTGAAAGCTATATATCAGGAAGGATCCCTTAGGGAAGATAAGAGGATGGTGCATATCTCACACATTTCTTCCACTTTTAGACTCTAATTGCATTCAACAATTTCAAAGCATGTGAGGAGGGATTGTTAGAGGAAGGAGCTATTACATTAAATTACCTAATTTAAATAACAGAAAAACACATTAAAATTTAAAACACTTCATTTTCAAAACATTTGAAGAGATTTTAAAATGGGCTTGAAATGGGCTACTCCAACTGACATAATATTGTCAGTTTCTAAAATATTGGAATGTGGAATTATATCATAATCACATAATGCATCTGCTGGGAAAGAAATTTTTTTCTGTTTCCCATTTTCATCTGTATCTGTAAACAAAGCACATTTTGCATGAAGGTAATTCACAATGTTGCCTTAACAGTGCAAGCTTTTATATAGAAATTGTGTGTTTGAGAGCTCAGGTTTACTTTTATAATAAAATTGGCATTTCATAGCTTGTTTAACCAGCAGTGTAGATAAATGCTTTGTGCACATGAACTAGCACAGCAGATTCAAGTACAACTTCAGTTCTGCAGATTAGTACAGACTTTCCATTTTAGTAGCTGCTACAATGTTTATACATCATCTCTAGACTTAAAGCATGTGCACTGTAACTGCTTCCCTACATGTGCCTGTTAGCTATGGGCTCTTCAATAGACTAATAACTTGTGCAATTTCCAGATGACATGAAGTGGTTTAAACTTGCAGATTTCAAACTGGCCCATAATGAGAAGATACACTGGCAGACTTCATCTCCTCCTGTTTTCTACTCCTTCATATTTAATCATGTGGAAACTAAGCATGCTTTGCTTAGAATAATATAAAGGAAGTTAATGATGGCGCTCCTGAAATTCCTAGAGAGGTGTCAGCTGAAGAATTGGACTGCCATTTGTCAGAAATAATGTAAGGTCTCCTGCTTGAGTGCGGGGTTGGACTAGATGACCTACAAGGTACCTTCCAACTCTGATTATCTGTTATCTGCCTTACAATTAATAGAAATGTCAATATCTATTCTCTATTTTCCCAGAAATAAGGAAGAATGGACTTAAACTTCAGGAAGAATATAACCATGGAACCAATTGTCCAGCAAGGTGGTGGACATTAAAAAAAGCTGGACAGCCGTATATTGGAGAAGTATTTTAATATATCTGTTTTACTAAATTATCTGCTAGATAGTTGCTTCATTTTGTAGGGTTCCCATATTACTTAATGAAAAACTATGTCTTTTGTCCTTATTAGAATCTATATAATTGATATTTTCCCCATTAATACTACTTCAATAACATTTCTTCCACAAACCTATCAGATGTTCCTTAGGGATTCCCTCCCCCCCACACACACACAATTTACAAGGCAACAAATTAATATGTTTAAAGGGTGTGACATTAGGACATAACATTTTAAAGAAAAGATATTATTAAACTCAATTTGTTCAAATTTCGTCTAGAAAAATTGTCCTTAACAATAAAAAGACACATACACTAAAAGCTTTGAATTTTTGCCCTACTTTAAAACAGAGAAGGGGGAGGGAGGGAGGGAGGGAGGGGAGAGAGAGAGAGAGAGAGAGAGAGAGAACCTGCATAAAAACAACACTTAATGAACACATACAAAGTGTTCTTATTAAGTGTATAATATATCTATCTATTAAAATGTAAAAGAAAAAGAAAAGTAGGAAAGCAATCTGAAAAATTTTATGGTACCATTTTGTTATCTGGAAAATAAACTTTAATTTAAAATGTTATATGTCATAGTCCTAATGTATCATAAAGCAAGCTCAAAATTTCCATAGAAGCCATAAAAACATTAACAATTATGCTGGAATATGAATTCAATATACTTCAAGTGTTTTTTAAAAATATCAACTTGAAAGTCATGCAAAGGGATAAGAATGTTCATATGTTTCATAAACTAGAACAAATTTCCTACCTTTATACCTCTCCAAAAGTGGCTTAGAACGGAACGTTTTAGCCACTTCAGATTGGCTATTGCAGGTCACCTTATTGTAGAGGTAAGCCTCAGTAGATGGGTTTTTTAAGATTGCTTCTATAGAAAAAGACAAAATAGGCTTCTCCTTCTTGTCACATTCCTTGGAGCAGCTCATCTTCATTCCACAATAGTAAACAAAATATTCTTGGTATAGGTTATATTCTTTTGGTTGTTCATTTTATGTAAGGAAAAGGCAAGTAGAAGTTGATTTTCTCTCCTTCCTGAGTTCTATTCTTACTTTCAAAGGACCAAATAAGAAGAAAAATGCCCATTTCCCTCTTGGAAATTCTCCACAAAATTTAGAAATCTTAATTCATGATCATTTTATTCTGAATTGAAATAAGTGTCCATCCTCACCTATACTAAAATGTACCCCCTCTCTACAGTTTAAAAAGTTTTAAGGATCTTATTTTCTCATCTTAGTCCCAATAGAAGTGTCTTTCTTTGGACACACTTCTAGGTTTTTTAAAGCTATTCTTTCTAAAATATTAGGAGTGATGGATGGCAACCATAATACAATCAAGGACAACTGAAGGGAAAAAAATCTTGCTTTTCCCTTAAAGGACAGATCTGTTTAGGAAGTATCCCAACAGATAATCATAATGTTAGAGGTTCATTAGAAATAACTTTTCCTCCTATTCCTTTTAAATGCTCTTCTTACTTTAAATTTAGTTAAGGATATATATTTTTATAAACCTTTTTTTTAAAGTAGAAATTCTCCAGAATTTTTTTCTTACCTTCAAAGGTTACCTTTCTAACTCCCTTTCCCTTGCTGCTACTCACTGCTTTATCCTGTGATTGTACTAAGAGACAATTTCTTATTTGCCCAATTACCTGATCACTGGTGAGTTGATATTCCATCATATGAATCGTTGTAAAGCTCTGGCTGAAATTACTGTGTAACCAGATGGCAATAAAACGCACCTGATAAGATGAAAGACGGTTGGCTTTTTCCAAGGACTATGAAGTTATTGTGCAGGAAAAGAAATAAATATATCATTATCCAAGTATAATAGAATGTTGTAAAATGCTTTTATGTTTACTCCAAACAGTTATCCAAGTATAATAGAATGTTGTAAAATGCTTTTATGTTTACTCCAAACAGTTTCCAATGCATTCAGTGGACCTTATTTATAGATAAATATGCACAAGATTTCAACCAGACAATGTAATCTTATACTTATCAGTTCACTGGATCAAAAGAAGCTGCCTTGTTCTGAGTTTCAACCTTGGTTTAACTTCTTAGCCTTTCTGCTAAGTAGTGGACTATTATCCATCAGATGTTGCTGCCCATAGATACTGGGAATATCAGCAATATTTGGCTGGCTGCAAACTTTCTATCTCAGGTCTGTAAAAACTAGAAGAATAGGACTTGCACAATTCTATGTGGAAATGCCAAACACTGGGTTTTTGGAAATAGAAATATACTTTGCCATGTGTTCCTTCCTGAAGCCTGCAATCCTATACACTACCTAAGTCTAAGCCTGTCTTTACCATGTAGTACTAAAACTCTTGCTGAGAGTCTATGGAGATTTTCAGTCATCCAAGTCATGGTTGTCCCAAAGGTGCTTTTTCAGTTGCCTGTAAAGACCAGCCTCTCCGCCCTTCAAAAAATAAGTATAGACCAGTGGTGGGATTCAATTTCTTTTGCTACCAGTTCTGTGGGCATGGCTTGGTGGGCATAGCTGGGGAAGGAAACTGTAAAATCTCCAGTCAGAGGTGGTATTTGTTGGTTTTCCGAACTACTCAAAATTTCTGCTATCAGTTCTCCAGAACTGATCAGAACTGCTGAATACCACCTCTGGTATAGACTCTTGAAAATGTTGTATTTCAAAAGGAATCTTTTATTTGAAGAGAGGAATAAGCAGGTCAAAATTCAAAGCAGGATCTGAGGTCCCTTAGGCCATGCAACTATGGTGAAGGGAATTAGAAACCCCTCCTAACAGTCCAATGTGGATTCCACCAATCCGCAGGTGTGAAGATGTTATTTTACCAGCACCTCTGGGAAAACAGATAAGGAAAGGTTCCCGGGGCTATCTTCTGGTGCTGCAATCCACATGGTCCCTTCTCTCCTTGCATCTCCCAGAATTTTCCAGGCATCCGAGGCACCAGGCAATGGTTGTAAATCATGTAACAGTTTATACAAAAGACAATGTAAGAAATAGGATATTTAGGATACATAGTGAGGCAAAGAATTAAATGTATCAAATCCACCACCCCTTTTCACTGAAGAATGGCAGATACACAGATCTGACATTGCCTCTTGAAAAAGCACCTTTGAGACTCTTGCTGAGAGGTAAATTGAGTTGTACTGGTCATCTTAGGGCTAAAGAAGAATTGATCTCTTACCAAGCTATTGCAAGTGGTGAGTGGTTAAAGAAAAGGAAAGGGGAGAGAAAGAGGATAGTTGCTTTACTTTTTTTAATTTAAAGGGGAAAGCCTTATGCTAATACCAATAGCAAGCTCTCATCCTATAAATAGTCAGGGATTTTATTTCCTGAAGGAGGAAAAGTAAAAGCTGTGCGTGCTACGAATATCCAAAGTCTATCCAAAGTTCAAAGAGGAATAGATTGCTTCTTTTTTCTATGAGGTAGATGTTGATGCTTCTTTAGAAAAGAAGAAATACCTCTCACCATCTGAGTCAGCACATGAAACAACATTTTTATATAAAAAAAATGAAGAATAGGAAGAAACTCTTTGGCTACATACTGCAAGTAATAACAAATATCCTTGTCCACTCCTTAAGAAGATTATCATAGTTCTTGCTAAAAAGACTTTGCTTGTCTAACAGTAGTGATAAAAAAAATGAATTATGGAATTAGACCAGTTATTCAGCCTTGATAGCTTGTAGAGGTGCAGGCTTCAAACTTCAGAATTCCCCAGCTAGTGGGTTTTCATAGCCATGGTTGAGAAAGTTTTGAGCATTCTCTAGGTCAGGGTGTCAAACTCAATTTCATTGAGGGCCGCATCAGGACTGTGGTTGACCTCGGGGGGGCCAGGTGGGTCTGGCTGACTGGGTGGATGTGGCCAACTGGGTGGCCGTGGCCAGCTTGTCATGTTTCCTCTTTGCATTGCGTAGATCAGGCCAAATCCACGCTATAGGATGGTAGGGCATTCTGCTTTAACCAGAAAAGCACACTGGTAATATCTGGAGAATTGGTTGAGGGGCTATGATAATTCACCATGGCCAACTCACTACAGCCAACTCACCATGGCCATCTTGCTGTGGCCAACTTGCAGCCAACTTGCCACCGTCAGCTCTCCACAACCAACTCATTGTGGGACTGCTCACTGTAGGACAAGAGTTTATGTATGCTAATATCAAAGAAATGGTGGAATAGAATTAAGAAAGGATGCAAAAGGAGGACAGGATGAAATGTGAATGACAAAAATTAAAATCATTTTTTATTTATTTTAAATAATTAAATTGAATTGTTAAATTGTCCCATGGCTAATTGTCCCATGGCAAGTTGTCCTGTGGTGAGTTGGCCACAGTGAGTTGGCTGTGGTGAGTTGTCCCATTCTTATTGGCCTAAAAGCCATATGTTGAGATATACTATGTTTAGATTTGAACTCTAATAATTACTTTTAAATCACCTTCTAAATGTGCAAATCATCATATGCAAAGTCATCTTTCTTCAGCCAGATCGTTCATGCTGAGATGGCTGGAATTTTCCTCACCCTACTCTGTAAGATTTATAATCTAGATTTACTTACATTTGTAGTACATATTTACTCTTTAGTGTTTTTTATGATTCTTGACCTCTAGCAAAAGGCCAGGGATAATAAGCATACAGTCTAGGGCTCTTTGTTTATCTGTATAAATGCTTCTTTTGATATGTACCATGCTGCTTTTATCACATTCCTTTGGGAGGCAAAAGTAACTCATCCTTAATTATAGGTAACTTAAAGTGACTGTACTGCAATCTTAGTTCACCAGACAATGTCTGTGCTAAATTGCAACATGGGTTAAATTTGCTAATGAAATGTTCAACCTGACAGAGTAGAACTGCTCCAGAAGACAGGACAAGAAATTACAAGGCAATAGATCTCATTTAGACATAGAGAAAAATTCCTAATAGTTAGTGCCATTCAGCCGTGGAACAGTCTGCTTCCAGAGATGGACTTTCTTGTGCTGAACATGTTTAAATAATGGCTCGATGACCATCTGTTAGGAACAATGTCATCACTGTATGTCAGAAGGTTGGATTAGATGATCTTTAAGATTCTCCAAATGTTATATTCCGATTCTATTAGAATCTGAAGTAACCTTAGAAGCCATCTCCTGCTCAAAGATACATGAAATCTGTAATGCAGAATGAATTAACCGCAGCTCTGACCAATGGCCGTCCAGTTTTTATTTAAACATCTCTAGCACAGGGAGGCCTATTATTGATTTATGTAGTTGAACTCATCTTGCAATTAAAACCCTTCCTTACAATCCTTTCTGTTCCTTATTCTAAGAAGTCATCTATATATAATAGAGTGATAGAATCAAGATCACGTAAAGTCTTGATACTATTTTATAATGCCTTGGTAAAACCACGCTTGGAATACTGCATCCAGTTTTGTTTGCCACAATGTAAAAAAGGATGTTGAAACTCTAGAAAGAATGCAGAGAAGAGCAGCAAAGATGATTAGCAGACCGGAGGCTTAAATCATAAAAGAATGATTGCTGGAATTGGGTATGTCTAGTTTAATTAAAAGAAGGACTAGGGGGTGACATGATGGCAGTGTTTTGATATCTCAGGGGTTGTCATAAAGAAGAGGGAGTTAAGGTCTTCCGGTTTGAGCTTCTTCGGTGACAGACCGAAACCTCGTCTCTGCAAGGCTTCGATCCGTGCTCGCCACTGGAGCGCCCGAGCCAGCTGGTTTCGGGGCTAAGCCACCCTGTAGAGGTGGTGAAGAGGGGCGAGACTGCCTGGAGGGTTGAGGAGAGCTGCATCTCTCCTCCCCAGCTGGCCATTACTCCCTTTCCCGACGGCGGTTGCAACAGTGGTCAGAAATGGCCACCACAAAGAAGAACTCGACCGGAAAAAAATGTGCAGGAGGAAGATAAGAAGAGAAAGTTTTAGTTGACTGGGTCAAACAGCAAAAGCAACAATAAGGTACCCTGGAATT